ATTCATTATTGTTGGCATCAGCAATCTTGTGGGAGTGAATCCCGTAACTATATGATGGAAAATCTGTCTATAAGCGAGACAGAGATGAGGTAAAGGTGTAGATCAAGCGGCGGGCCCCTCCTTTGAGTCACAGCTCTTCCCGGGCCCTGTAATCAGTGGATAGCATGATCTGTGGACACTGCTGTTTGTGGTCAGTGGGAAATACCCCACGGCTTCACACCTGCTCCTCTGCTGGGCTGACCGCAGGTCAACGAGCCTGAGCAGGTTTAACATCCACCACCTCAACAGGGGGCTTGAGCTACTGATGTGATTTGAGCTCCTATCCACAGGCATAGGATGGTACAAGATAGCCCCCTAGTGACTGATTCAGTACACATATGCTGGAGGAATCTGCTGCATCTGATAAAGTTAGTGAACGTTATCAAGCTGTCTGATTAGATGTACTTACTCTGGTCTGTAGATTGGAAGCCAATAGACGAGACGCCCACCTAAAACCAAATGGTGGGCTGCAAAATTCAAGAGGTCGGCAAAGATATCACTCAGGTGATACGCCATTGAAACGGGGACGTGACTCTCTCCAGAGCTGCATTGGGATATGAAACACAAGAAAATATAATCAACTCAGAATCTCAAGAGGGATAGCTCACCAAAAAAAAGAGGAAAGTCTGTCATCATTTATCTGCCCTCAAGTTGTTCCAATGGAGCAGAAGTGAAGAAATCGGGAAAAAATTTGATTGTGCAAAAGATTGTCTCATTCACACACTGATCAAAGTCTTATGAACAAATCAATTTAAATGTTTGCTTTTTGTAGCATTGCAATTGCATGGAAGGGGGTGACTAATACATTATACACAACATTACCTTTTGTGTTCCATTGGGAAAAGAAAGCCATAAGTGTTTTGAAAAACATTAAGCACAAGAACCGGTTTCCTATACATGGATCAAGTGAACATCAAACTCGGATACAGTCTTCAAGACATTATTATTTAATATTATTTTCTCAGGCCTGAATAAACATTAGTAGCTAGTATATAAATATATAAAGATTTTTTAGATAATAAAAATAATATTTGGGTCACACTTTATTTTAAGGTCCAATTCTCACCATTAACAAACCATTAACTATGACTTTTGCCTCAAACTCCTAAATTGCTGCTTATTAATAGTTAATAAGGTAGTTGTTAAGTTTAAATATTGGGTAGGATTAGGAATGTAGAATATGGTCATGCAGAATATGTGCTTAATAAGCACTAATAAACAGCAAATATGTTAATAATAGGCATGCTAATAAGCAACTAGTTAATAGTGAGAATTGGCCCCTATACTAAAGTGTTACGAATATTTGTTTCCTGAGCACCAAATCAGAACGATTTCTGAAGGATCATGTGACACTGAAGACTGAAGTAATTGCAGCGGAAAATTCAGCTTTACCATCACAGGAATAAACTACATTTAAAATATATATTAAAAAAATACTTTTTATTTCTCAATACTACTCTTTTTACTGTATTATTGATCAAAAAATGCAGGAGAGACTTCATTTTAAAAAGCCTTTGAATGCTAGTGTAACTGTATAGTCTTGTACCATTTGTTGTGTTAGAGGTGAGGCAAAGGATCACTGGATGACTGGCTCATATCTAAAGAGTGTTTCAAGTGGATCCATTAAAAATGCAGGTGGATAAAAGTGATAGGCTTACAAGTCCACAGGAGGTTTGATGATATCTTTATGAGATCCCGTTCTCCTTGTGGACTCACGAATACCATATGGAGCTACACAAAGGGAAAAGAAAAACACTTGAAGCTTCAAAACAACAGTTAATAGTAACAAATAAAAAATAATGTGGCTTTAAAGGTGAAGCGTGTAATTTATGAGCCACTAAACATAACTGAACAATGTTGATTTCTGAAGGATCATGTGACACTGAAGACTGAAGTAATTGCAGCGGAAAATTCAGCTTTACCATCACAGGAATAAACTACATTTAAAATATATATTAAAAAAATACTTTTTATTTCTCAATACTACTCTTTTTACTGTATTATTGATCAAAAAATGCAGGAGAGACTTCATTTTAAAAAGCCTTTGAATGCTAGTGTAACTGTATAGTCTTGTACCATTTGTTGTGTTAGAGGTGAGGCAAAGGATCACTGGATGACTGGCTCATATCTAAAGAGTGTTTCAAGTGGATCCATTAAAAATGCAGGTGGATAAAAGTGATAGGCTTACAAGTCCACAGGAGGTTTGATGATATCCTTATGAGATCCCGTTCTCCTTGTGGACTCACGAATACCATATGGAGCTACACAAAGGGAAAAGAAAAACACTTGAAGCTTCAAAACAACAGTTAATAGTAACAAATAAAAAATAATGTGGCTTTAAAGGTGAAGCGTGTAATTTATGAGCCACTAAACATAACTGAACAATGTTTACAAACAGTATTCCCATGCAACTGAAAATCCAGATAGTGTTTTGGAACAGCTTGTTTTTAACTGGTCCAATCAGGCGTGCTATAGTATTTTAACATAAAAATAAATTGTACACCCTTCACCTTTGAAGACCTTAAGTTTCTAGGAACGTACGGTCTGTAACAATGGCATCAAACTGTGCATTTGTTCTCCAAACAGGCTTGGAAGCATCAGACACCATGACGTCCACATAGAGACTCTCAGTCCCATACTGCCGCAGGTTCGCTCGGATGTTCTCATCCGGTCCTCTCCATTTCTGATTCTTCCTGCTGGCTTTTCCTGCAACAGTTTTAAATGCTCACAGGTGTGCACTCACTACAAAAGGATGACTAAACCTACACTGTGTGGAAAACTGAAGGAGAAAATTATTTAAAGGCTTTAAAAAAAACATACCTATTCCATGGATAGTGTTATAATCGATGTCTGTTCCACATACATAAGCCCCAAAGTGTGAACACGCTACCAGAAGACTACCTGAAAAACAAAACAGAGTAAGAAAATGATCATTACAGAATTTAAGATAATAATACAAGTAATCGCTGCAATATATCTGACTGTAGATCTTTATATCTGCTTGACACTTTAAAAGTATGGCCTATAAGGATTTCCAGGCAACCAGAGAGTGTTCAACTAAATAAGCACATCTGTACTGCAGATCTCAGTACATGTGGTGACAACAGACTTATGATAAAGCCCTGGCAACATCGTGGCACGCTACAAACTCACAATAAGCCACGCTTTGGGAAAGAGACTGAGAGATAAATGCAGCCCCATGCTGTTTAGAAAGCAAGCAATTCTTCATTTGACTGATGCCACTCGAAAGTGTCTTTTCAAAGTCAAAAGAAAGAGGAAAAGTGGGCCAACTGAGACTGAAAAGTGAGAATTTCTGTGAGCCATCACAAAAAAAAAAATGATATAGAGATCTGCTCCTGGTTCGTGATAGACACAAAGAAACAGAAGATGATGGCCCATATCTTCAATCACCCAGACAAGCTGTCAGATGTGATTTCACTCAGAATGAGAAACAAACACAAACACCTGCTTCAGTTTGGCCCAAAATGAAGCGTCTAAACTGTTCTGATTAACAACGTGCCAAACAAACCCATTTTGCAAGACTAAATTAATTAATTTGCAGAATAAAGATATCTGACATCATAGGCGTGTTGGATGAGAACTTATACACTGACTTTGCTGAATGGCTTTTTATATTAAAACTGACTTTCTAATACTAGTTGTCGAAGAACCAAATTCCATTAAATTAACACAAATAAATATAAGTAAATTGATAAAATGCAACACTACTAAAAAGTACTATTTCAAATACATACTGTTCGTTTAAACTTTCCATTCATTAAAAAATGTGAAAATGCATTACAAAAAATAATTCCACAAAAAAACAGCACAACGGTTTTCAGCATTGATAACAATAAGAAATATTTCTTGAGCACCAAATCAGCATATTAGAATGAATTCTGAAGACTGAAGTAATGGCTGCTGACAATTCAGCTTTGCCATCACAAGAATGCATTACTCTATAGAAAATAGTCATTTAAATTTTTTATATTTACAATATTACTGTTTTTACTCTATTTTTGATCAAATAAATGCAGCCTTGGTGAGCAGAAGGGACTTCTTTCAAAATATTTACAAATATTATCGACCCTGAATCTTTGAACAACAGTGTTATGATGGCTATTTTACAACAGCTTCAAATGTGGCTCATCCAATCCGATATTAGAGTCTGAATTTATGTCAAGAGACATGAATTGTTGAATTTAAAAGCCTTCTATGCTCTCGGACATTTCCTCACCTGTTCCAACAAAAGGATCATAAACCAAATCATCAGCCTTCACTTTGGCATGATTGGCCATGATGAAGGAGAGGCGAGCATCCATACTAGTGTTCCCAATGAAATGTCTCTTCTTCACACTGTAAGAGCGAATTAATTCTCTCTGACCATCTGCAATCTGAAGAGAAAGCAGTTTAATATTTCAGAGTTGATACGGTAGGTAATCTTTTATTTCAAAGACATCATTCAGCTTTACTTTCCAGGCCACAAATCAAGCATTTTACAAATCCATACACAGTAAAAAAACGCAGTGTCAGTTTAACACTTAAAGTGTCGATTTTAACACTACTAAAGATCATATATGGTCCCAATCTGTGTAGTGTTAAAAGTACACCGTTCGTAGTGTTGAATTTTTAGTGTTAATATAGCACCTTACAGTGTAGAAAAATTACACTCCGAGTGTAAAGTGTTACACTTGCTATTGTTGTTAAAATTTTACACTATAGGGTATTTAACACCCCTGGTGTTGTTTTAATCCTTTAAGTGTTATTAATAAAGTATTCTTTTCAGTGCAAACAAAAAAATGCTATTGTATGGTGTTAATGTACAAGATTAGACATAAAATCAAGAGTCTTCAGACAGATGTATAAATTTCAACGTTTATTTAACAAATGGGCAAAGTGGCAACTTTAAAACAAATATCAGATGTGTAGAGGTTAATTAGTCAGTAGGAGACCAATTGATGCAATATCGCTGTCCCATTCTAAATAACAGATATGACAACTTTAGCAAAAAAATGCATGAACACAGAATATAGATAAAGCATTAATATAGATAATTTTATTCTGAAATATAGTCTAACCTTAGAAATCGGTTTCATCCTCCTTTACAGCTGATTCCGAGGTCAATTGGGTCCTTGAATGTCTTGGGAGAAGCCAGGAACTTGACTTCTTGAAAAGAAAAGAAAAGAAAAGAAAAGACAATTAATGACAACAATATCTCTCTCAGGAACCATTCTGCTAAGTTGATTGTGTAGTCACACAGTGGCTCTGTTCACACCTGGCATTAGCCAGGCATTATCTCTTTTATTACAGGGTTAGTTCAAAAATGATTATTTCATCATCGTTTACTCAGCCAAGACTTTTGTTATCTTTGAAACACAATTGAAGATATTAGAATATAAGATTTCTGTCCCTTGAATGACGGTCCAAGCAACTACCACTTTGATACTTCATAAACTTCATAAAGAGATCTAATCCATAAAGAGAACTAATCCATACGTATCGTGGTTTAGTCCAAATTTTCTGTTTATGTTCCCTGATCAATGTATAAATGTGAAAAAAAAAAAAATTCAATCTGTTTATTGTAAAGCGATCGAGTCTCTTCAGAAAATTTGGACTAAACCACTCGATTCATTTTGATTAGTTTTATGATCTCTTTATGAACTTCTTGAAGTATTAAAGTGGTAGTTGTGTAGACAGACTCACAATTCTGGCTTCATCTTCAGCATTCTGCTCCTTTCTTGAAGGGCTTCCATCACTCACACTCAGTGTCATCAGACTCACAGTTTGCAATCTTATGAGAGGAGCTTCCTTCACTTGACACTGCAGAAGTCTGGGCCAATTCTATTGAAAAAGGATAAAAAAAACAACAACACTTATTTCAGTAATTTAAATTTACATTAGGACTGTATATAATATCGTAAAAATAATTGTGATTACCCCTAATTTTGAGTAGGCTGAGAACTGTCTATAATACGGGTGTCAAATCGTAAATTTATTATTATTTTTTTTTTACATCATGCTAGGTTCAATTAAATGAAACATTGTGCAATATTCACATGGATGCCTGAAACAATTGAAGTATTTATTTAATCTGATTGAAATTACACCATAAAACAACACTGAACATGAGTACTGTTTAACACTGTAGATTGTTAATTCAACTCTTTGGGAATTAATAACTTTTAACACTGCAAATATTACACTGCTGATTTTACTGTGCACAATAGTCAAATGTGAAGGCTTGTTCATCTGCAAAGACTACAGCAGAAATGTTCTGAACCGTTATATATATGGAAAGAGCTGCTCACCCATCTCCCAAAGTATATATGGAAAGGCTCCTCTGGGATGTCATTAGGATCAGAGCCATAATCCTCCAGCAAACAGAAAATATGTTCTGGATCCTTCAGATTGACTGTCCCTTTAAATGGCAAGAAGTCTAGAGCCTGTGGCAAAAGCACACTTTATATATTTTCACTGTCCATAACAGAAGACATTCAAACTTGCAGTTAAAGCTGTTGCTAAATTAACGCCAATTATGGATTGTATTCTACAGAATCAGGTATTCAAAATGTACAAACATGTAAATGCAGCAAAATACTTGCATCAATCTTTTGGATTCTGTTATTAAACACTAATGTTTTGTTGAAAGTGTAGACATTGATCTTATAAGTTGAATTTTGTTGTAGATATGGAGCCTGTGAAGAAGCAATACAAGAGACAGTTTATTCAGAGATGCTTTCTGTAAACCACATTGTATTTATTAAGAGAACATGAACAAACCATGTTTTCTGCTGGATACTTCAACAATGACGTCCTAAGCTCATCTGTTGTTGTTCCATGACCCCAAAGTTCAAAAGAAGACCTTGAAATCAATATTAAACTTTACATAAATGCAGCAATTCAATCATTTTTACTGTTTTTTTTTGTTGTTGTTCAATTAAGGCTTTGCAATAAGATCTTTCGTTTGTTAATGTCAGTTAACAAACTAACAATGAGCAATAGGCCTATATATTTTAACCACATTTACTAATCTTTGTTAAAAATTTGTTACATTTGTTCATTGTTTGTTCATTTCAATTCACAGTGTGTTATCTAATGTGAACTACTTTTGGTTTTGAAATTGTAAATGCTGAAATTAGCATTAAGATAAATATAGAATGTAGAATATTGTTCATTGTTGGTTCATGTTAACTCATGTAATTAACTAATACAAACAACTGAAACCTTACACCGTGTCTACACTGGACGCCAGCAGCGCGAGAAAATACTATAGAACTCATTATAATCAGTGATGCTGTCTACACTGGATGCGGCGCGACACGACAAATCCCCGACAGTAAACTGCTGCCGCATTCTATTTATGATGTGTTGACACAAATTTCAAATGATTTTCAACGGTCGCTTTGTCCAGTGTTGACAAGGTGTTATTGTAAGCTGGCACCCATGGTTTCACTCATGAAATATTCATACACTGCTCTTAAGCCAATCATCGACTATATTCAAACACATGCAGAGTCTTGATTAGAGTAATTCAATTAGAGTAATATTTATAATAGGCCTAGTTTGTCATCTTGAGCATTTTACATGTAATGCAAATGTAATAAAATACTACAACCTACTTTCCACAAATCGTTCTAGACATGACACGCCGTATATCATCTTCCGATAAGCCATTCAGTTGCCAAAAGGGAGACTTATGAGAAAAGAGCTAGAGTTAGAAAATAAATAACATAACAATTACTTATGTCAAGTGAAAAACAATTTGGGACTACCTTTTCGCTGAATGTTTCTGATGTATCAAATGGACGTTTCCTTAGAGACAGCAATGCTTTTATTTCCTGTAAACAATAATTCAGAGAGTGATATATGAATATATACCCAACACAGTTTGATCTTAGATTTAAATTAAAATAATTAACTCTACAATACTGAATTGAACTGTGAGTAATGAGTTCTCCAAAGTACACTCTGACAGATTAATTCTAGCATTTTGACACGAAGGTCTGAGTGAACTGAAGGTTTACAGTTTGTACCGGTAATCTAAAATCGACGTTATCATGTGCAAGATGAAGTAAATATTGTCTGCATGCTCGACGACAGTGGAGAGCCATGTTTGTGTGCTACATTCAACATCATCCGATGAGTAAATTATGCTCGTAACAACAGTTCCTGTTTGGCATCCCCGTACGTAAATCGCCTAAGCGAAAGTCTTGTGAAAGAATTAGACCAGGGCTGTCCAAACTTGGTCCTGGAGGGCCGGTGTCCTGCAGAGTTTAGCTCCAACTTGCTTCAACACACCTGACTGGAAGTTTCTATGCCTAGTAAGAGCTTGATTAGCTGGTTCAGGTGTGTTTAATTAGGGTTGGAGCTAAACTCTGTAGGACACCGGCCCTCCAGGACCGAGCTTGGACAGCCCTGGATTAGACATTTGTACTTTTCATTCAATGCCAGTTTTAACTACTGTAACTCATACCCATGAGTAAAATTAAGTACATTGCCTTTGGAGTCGGAACAACTGTGTGTTCGTGAAAGCAGAATTATTTTTTTTCTTATGATTTGATGTATATAGTCCTTTTTGAAAATGGAAAAGATTTCGTGTCACCTGATGATATCTTTTAATCTTTTCTACACACTCATTAATACGGAGCCCCTAAAGGGACATGGTGGTGGGGAAAAAATTCGGGGTGGGAGGAAATTTTTTTTTGCGTTCTCTCGCAAAACTTTTGCGTTCCCTCGAGAAACTTTGCGTTCCCTCGCAAAACTTTTGCGTTCTCTCGCAAAACTTTTGC